AAATGTCTTCATTAAAGAAGGCCCTCTGGGCTTCACATGGAACATGGCAAAGAAGCCCAAGGGCCCACTGGTATCACTGCCATTCAATGTGTGAAAGTCTCCAACTATTACAAAAGACAGAGCTCTCTTGCATGAATGAGAAGTGACAAAGTTCTTTGTCTTATGCTTTAAAACAATCACCCAAGAATCCCATAGAAAATTAACAGGAATTTTTAAAAATAATTTTTCTCCTTCTACTGAATGCATCTTTAACAAAACATCATGTTTTGTTTATGTAGACAGTGTCGTGGTCACATGGCATAATAAATTAAAATAGGATTTTTCAAACCCAATAGGTGAACATCTTGATTCACTTTTTCCAAGCTGTGAGCCAACGAAAAGAAGGCCTCGCAACAGTGTGAGAAGAGTTTTCTCAATAATTTGAGCCAAGTTCAAAAAGACACACTTCTGAGATACGGCTCACAAGTAAACTTCTGCGGCATGGCTGGCTGACATGGGATAAGCAAGGACTGGCAATACTCCAGGGATGGTAAGTATAGACTGACTAACCAGAGACACACCCAATAAATTTATCTTCAAATGTATCTTCTTACTTCATAAGGTAAATAAAGAATGTTTTCATTTTAGCATTTCTAAGATTGCTATCATAAGATGAGTGTGAAATTACTAACTCCTATTCACTAGCTAGATATGCCTCAACTAAATACGTTTAGAGAAGAGAAATAATTCAGCTAGAACCACAGAGTGAGAGAGGTTTGGATATTTAGGTAGTGGCAAATCTCATATTTTTAAAAATATATAGTAAGGTCCTGGTGAACACTAATAAACACTGCAGATAGGGGACTGATTAACAAATACTGTCAATAATTAACAAGGAACTGAAGTCATCTTACTTTGTCAATCCTTTTACTAATTGAAAAAAAAACCCAAATTAGATTTTGTTCCCATCTCACTGTTTAGGAAAGCCAAGAAAGATTACCTGTCTAAGATATACAGTAAAAGATTTAACTGTAACAGACTTTAACCAGCGGAGTATTCTTTAGCCCTCAACTCAATGAGATCTCAGTCAATCAAACTAAATGATACTAAAATGATTAACAGAAGATACTAACTTCAATAGTCAATCAGATTAAAAGACAATAAAGGCACATTATCCTCATTATGCAGGTATGTATCTTGTCTAAAACCTCAGTGCAGAGTTTTATACCCAATTTAGACTATCTGAAATGTCAGAAAACTGCCAGTTGGGTGGAAGCTATAATAAGCTCACTTCCTCTAACTCTTGACTTTGATATTTCAGAATGCCAGCTCAAAAAGGATAAACTATGACTAACGGATAAAAGACTGCTGAAATTAGATAAAATAATAAGAAAGCTCTTTAATGATGTTAATGAACCAGGATGCCTAGAGACTGTTAATAGGCAACAAGCAGACCCCGTATTTCACAAGAATCCATTTTCCTGGCCGTGAACCAAGCAGAAGTCAGCCTTTTCCTGTAAGAAAATGAATTCAGAGTTTTAAAATATCCTAATCATATTTCAGCTAAAACGTGAGATCTCTTTTGGGTAAAATATTCTCAAAGACAGACGGCTTACTATATTTACCATGAATTTAAGAGTCAGGACTTTTAATACCAGACTCTGAATGGCAGATTGTGCTTTCCGGGGAGGCATTAGAACTCAGGTCCAGGTTTACCCAGCAGTGAAGCCTCTTAATCATTTCACAGGCCAACCAGCTAGGCTCTCTTCACTACAGATTTATACAGAACAGTGTTACCTAGGCTTTCCCCCACCCCAACATTACACCTTTTAGATTAGTATGCTTCATTAACCAGTGGCCGTACATAATGCGATTTTCAATTAAGAGAATGATTTTTTTTTTTTTAATACAAACATCACGCAGGGCTTTGATGCCCCTCAGTAAACTACAACTGCTGATTACCATAGCTTAATACTTACTTACGCTACTTTTGGAAAACATTCATTTAAAGAATACTGGGTACCAAACATATTGACTAGACTTAATCTGGTAACGCACAAAACCCCCGATTGGTATTATTCCAGCTAGGAAACAATCTAAGAATGAGCTTTTGGAAGTTGTGAATTAAAGTGACTTTTTTTAAACCAATATAAAACATGCATCCAAATGTTTGCTGTGAACTTACGTATTTAACAGTACAGCCTGTGGTCAAAACAGTTTTTCATCAACTCTGAATATCCTCACTGGTAACAATACGCTCCTCCTCTCAGGTTGGGTATGGTTTTTACAAATCACCTCAAATCATTCAGAGACCAGGCTGGTGCATAAATTGCATTTTAATAAAAACAAAAACAAACAAACAAACAAAAAACTGTCACGCAAGTATGTTTAATGATCTTGTTATGGAGGCAATGCCCAAAAAGGGGAACCCTAAAAATAATTTAAGTGATAGTTCATCACTGGCAGTATATACCCACAAAGTGACTTCTTTGAAAAGATCACCTGTTCGGGCTATATGCTCTCACATGTCTACAAACAACTCAATACTTCATAGGCACACTTCATACCTAAGGCTTATCCTGACTTGTGGAGAAAGTTATTTCATTGCAAACCTCTAAACAGTCCATACTCATAGCTAAGGTAGCTTTCAGATCACATGCATCTTTCTAACCATCATTCCCCCCATCTTCTGAACACATTAGGACACACTTAAATTCTATAGTTTTCAAATTAATATAAAGTAATTTCCTAACACTGACCAATTAGATTGACCATGTGGTCTACTAGAATTAGTTTAAACATATTTGGCAATGGCACTTCCAAATATACATCAGAAGAGGACAAGAAACACCCCTTAAACTTTACTTGTGGCCCTTCTTCAGATGCCTGCTCTGCTATGTATTAGGCAGAACCACATGAAATTGACATTTCTGAAGGTCACAGAGGGTTGAATATCAACAACTGCATATGGTTCAATTTAATAATATTGCTCTAAGACAAAAAATTTGAACATCTACCAACAGAGCTAATGAGATAGAGGTTATTATCTACATGGCCATCTTCCTAGCAACAACTTCTATTTATGCAAAGATAGTTTATATAAACCTTAATATACATATTATGGAATTTTGCAACTCTGTGAGATAGGCAGATCAGATATGCTGATCTCCACTTCACGGAGGAGAAAATAAGGCTCAGATGCTAATTGCTCAAATGTCCAAAAGTAATAGGGCAAGGAATCAAACCTAAGCCCTTTGACTCCTGATCTTTGCTGAAACAACCTTCCTTTAAAAGGATAATCAAAATCATCTAAATACAAGCACATATACTCCCAATGTTTACTTTGTGGACAGATTCCATAAATACCTATGTGATAAGTGTCTAGATTGGAGTACTTAAGCCCTTTCAAAAATGTGGGTGCATACTCAAGGGCATTCTTATAATTTATTTGCTCACTTCTGCAACTGCACCCTCACCAGGGACTTCATCTTTACATCCCACAGGCATGCCTCCCCTTCACCCCCAAAGGTCACATACCTGGCTAACTGCACTATGCATCCACTGGGGGACAAAACACACAATGTAGGCTCCATACCATCAGTCATGCCACCAGCCTAGTTTACTTATGATAACAAAATCCTGGGATGTGATTTTCAATAATATATTAATTGACCGAATGGCCCATGGGTCATTGACTCAAACTGATGGTGGCAATGTGATGACTCCACTTAAAGCTTAAAAGAAAAATTTGCTAGTGCTTAAATTTGTTCTACAAGCATCACTATTTACAGATGAAGAAAAAAGTTTTATATTAACTTCTAAACCAGGCAATTCCATATGTTAGAACATTCAGAGGGAAGGGCGCTTGGGTGGCTCAGTCGTTAAGTGTCTGCCTTCGGCTCAGGTTATGGTCCCAGGGTCCTGGGATCGAGCCCTGCATCGGGCTCCCTGCTCCGCGGGAAGCCTGCTTCTCCCTCTGCCCCTCCCCCTGCTCATGCTCTCGCTGTCTCTCTCTCACTCTCTGTCTCTCAAATAAATAAATAAAATCTTTTAATAAACAAATAAATACTGGGGTGCCTGGGTGGCTCAGTCTGTTAAGTGTCTGCCTTCGGCTCAGGTCATGATCCCAGGGTCCTGGGATCGAGCCCTGCATCGGGCTCCCTGCTCCGCGGGAAGCCTGCTTCTCCC